ATAATAATATATTTAATAGTTTAATTTTAAGGATTGCAAATTATCAGAAAATACTTTTTTTATTAAATTCGATGACAATATTTAGCATAGAATTTGTTTATGAACAGATCTATAGATTGCATTGTAATAAATATTTTTTTTTTACCTCTGATCCATTTTAACCATTAAATTCGATGAAATTGCAATGTCTTTAAGCATCTGTAGAGGCCCCTGGCCGAATAATTTGCATAACTACAGCCGGCGAGGGCATATAAATCTCCCATATGCTTTCTATTTAACTTTTACTAAAGACTTCCGACACATTTCTGCGCAGACCAATTTGCCAGGCGATTCCCCGTGTGGCCCCTGTTCCCCCTGGATCACCAGTATTCCCCGGATTCCCTGGCCTGCAGCGGCTTTCAACACCTACACACTGCCTAACCGCGCGGCTCCCAGGCGAAGTTGCATTTTGGATAGCGTGACTGGCCTCCATTTGGCCAGGCAACGGCCCGAAAGCCCGGGAAAGTGGCCCAGAGTGGCCCAGAGTGGCTGGCCCGGTTGTCTGCGGCCCTCGAGGCTTGTAACTTATCTAAATGCACACAATTATTGAATATAATCGCCGGCAGAAGAGGCGAACGCCGAGGGAGCGAAAACAAACACGTGAAATTTTTGCATGCCGCCTTTTAGGCGTTCCTGCGCTTCGCAAAACGAGTTGAATTTGCGAAAAGCCGAACTAGAAAATACCCTGATTTGATAAACTAAAAAAAAAGGTGAAAAAAATAAAATTAATAATAAAAAATATTCTTAAAATGTTGATAAGCCAAAGAAAGCGTAAAAGGCAATTACAATCTGGATTTATAGAATAAATTTGCAGGTTTTCGCTTTCTCCATTTTGATAAAAATATAAAAAGTAATAAAATATTGATCTTAAAATTAACTATAACATAGAATTGATCTTAAAATATTGTTAAGACAAGAACAAGCGAAAAAGGGCAATTGCAATCTACAGATTTACAGCATTAATTAGCGGGTTTTTGCTTTCTCTGCGTTGTGTCAAATCCATGAGCAAGTTCAATTATCCCAACAAAGCGATTGCGACAGTGCAGAGAATAACAAACATTTTGCAATTATCAGGCAAATATTTATTTAAGCGCAATTATCTGAACACGAGTTGCAGGTAGAAAAAAAGAAGCGAGGAGCGACATATAAAACAGGGTAAAAATCAAATGAAAAACCCAACTTGCTGGCAATTAAGCGCAATTTCCGTTCCCTGTCAAATGATTATTTAAAATGCAATCTATATATGTGGCTATATATAAATCGGGGTGGGCGAGGGTAAATAGTTAATGCGGCAATGGCAAAATGTGACAAATTATACAGAACGGAGATTAACTCGCCCGAAACCATTTGTTACAAGAATCGGGATCGGAATCGGGAAATCAGAATTAAATTAAATAAGCAGTAAAAACAAGCCACTTATTAATGCCATATGTTCAGTGTCACTCGCACTGAAATCAAATAAAAAGTGGGGAAAAAAATGAAAATACAAAAAAAGAGAAAAAGAATCAAAGGTAAAAAACAAGAGTGCAAATTAAATGCAAACAAAGTTGATTTCCCATCCCCGCGAGCATAAACTTTTAATTTCGTTTTCCCTTTTATTTGTAAATTACACATTTCGCTGAACGAAAATTGCAGGTGGAAAGTGCAGATGAGTGGGTTGTGGGTAGAGTGGGTGGAGTGGCTGGCCACATCCGTTCGCAATTTTAGGGGGAAAATCCGCGAATCGTGGGCGTTCTTCCGGTCCGCTCGTCCAGCCCCGATTTTTAGCCCTGTGTTTATCCTGCGCTTTTTAGAGTTTCGGAGGAAATAAGGCTGAGTGGAGCGAGATGTTTGGCCAAAAAATTATACAAAATCAATACAACAATGGGGTGGAAAATTTAATTTTTCACCAATTTTTGATAATTTGATTTAATTGTTTGCGATAAATGGCAAAAATTAAAAATGTTCAGGTTGAAATGCCAATCTATTGCGTATTTATTTAAGAGCTCTAAAAGGTATGACTTTCTATATTTGGACAATTATTTCCATTCTTCTGGCTAAAATACTTTCTTTTTTGGGGTGGAAAAATAGAATCTCGATTTTTGGTAAAAATTTGATTTATTTTTTTAGTTTTTTTGCTGTAACTTGGTCAAAAATTGTCCCAAATCAAAAAGGCGCACTGTTTTGTGGAGATTACGACCTTACAATTAATATCAGTGCACTTTGCGACCGATTTGACAAAATTCATTTTTGACCCAATTTTCGCTTTTTTTATTTTTTTCGAAAAATGGCAAAAATTAAAAGTTTTCAGGTTTAAATGCCAATCGATTGGGAATTTCATAACGAGTTCAACAAGGTACGACACACCATATTTGGATCATTATTTCCATTTTTATGACCAAAATACTAACAGTAAATACTACTTTTTTTAGGTGAAAAATCAAGACCTTGATTTTTGGTAAAAATTTGATTTTTTTTTATGGGTTTTTGGCTGTAACTTGGTCAAAAATGGTCCCAAATCAAAAAGGCGTACTGTTTTGTGCAGCTTACTAGCTTACAATTAATATCAGTGCACTTTCCGACTGATTTGACAAAATTAAATTTTGACCCAATTTTCGCTTTTTTTGTAAGGGGTACCATCATAATTTTTTCGAAAAATGGCAAAAATTAAAAATTTCCAGGTTGAAATGCCAATCGATTGGGAATTAAATAACGAGTTCAACAAGGTAGGACACACCATATTTGGACCATTTTTGGCATTGTTTCGGTCCCAAATTCTGTAAAATAATCATAATTTCTTGCCAAAAATAGAAAAAATTTAATTTTTTTATTCAGTTTTCTTTCTAAAGTAATAATAATGGTTTATTATTAAATTTTACAAGCAGAAGGAGCAGCATATATAAAGTCACACATCTCAAAGATGTTTTATAGAAATCCTTGCTATAAATCCCAGCTTCATGATATCTCCTCCTTTCTGATTTATCCACCCTGCTGTGCTGATTGGCTGCTTAAGCGAATTGTGGTGGCTGCGGATGAGGACGATGATGCTGGTGATTTTGGTCCACCCACAAAAATGTGCGGCTAATTGGATGTCTGTGGACGCAGCGAGGATGCGAGGCTACGAGGATGCGAGGATGGCGGATGCCATGTGTGGCAGGTACTTTGACAGTCGGCGCCTGATTTCCATGCAAATTGGTTACAGCACAGTAAGCAGGCAATATTTCTGCTTCATTTCATAAATGCGTCCGGGGTCGACTCCTCCACCAATCCTCAATTCCCCAATGGCTGACTTCCAGCTCTTTGGATTCCATGAGTTTGCATATCAAACGCCTGATGATGTGTCTTTAATTTATACATGAATCCGCAGCCAATTTCGTGTTTACTCACGAAATTTATAGGCGAAAAGATGGCGAATTAAAAAAGGGAATTCCCAGAAGTTGATCTGAATGGGATTTTATATGATAATATTTAGATTACATTATTTCCAATATTTATTTTTTGAATATAATTATTGTGTCACTTTTCCAATGGCTCTCAAAGTGTTTTTAATTTTAATTGCTGCCCATAATTAGCAAAGATCCGAATAGGCTAAGAACTGAAACAACGGTCGTGTTTAATTGAGTGGGACGGCGATAGCGGATGGAAAGAGACGGAGCGAGCGGTACGTGCAGTTTCTGTCTTGTGTCATTTGCCTTTAATGAACGGTTGCCCGCTGGCCACCGACGTGTTCTTGTTTTTGCCTTTGTTGTCATTTCATTGTCCTGCCAAGCGTTTCTTTTGTTTTAGGCCAACGGCAATTTGAACATTGCGGCCAATTTGTCGATGAAGGCGCAAAAACACAGGCAGAAACACAAGCAGGAGAACAGGAGAAACTCGAAACTGCGGGGCGAAAACCCAGAACACGCGTGCTGCCAAAAGCAAAAACGCAGAGCAGAAGAGTTCTCAAAATGGGGTAGATAAAAGGTCCACCCTGGGAAGGCCTACTACGAAGGGTGGCCCAAACTTTGTAGCCGAGAACAACATTATAGAAATAAAACAAATAGTTATACTTACTTGAAGAATATATTTACATTTATGTCTCTTTTATTATTTTTTAATTTTTGAGAAATGTAAAAAAACTTTAAAATTTTTTGGTAAATATTATTTCATTACTAAATTGTCTTAAATTGTGTTTTATACACACAAAATGTAGTAAACATAATTGTCATACACCTTTCCTTAATTTTTACCTTCAACCTATATTTGTTTTTAATTTTTATAAGAAAAATCGTCAGAAGTTTGGCAATATCTTGTACTCCTTATAATGTTTTTGAACAGAAAACTAATCAAGAAAAAATGAGTACTAAAATTTAAATGTGATTTTATTTAGTTCAAAAAATCTTAGGCATTTTTTAAGGTTAATGAGATCTATATTCTAGAACTTTGCCACCTTGAAATCCATCTGGGATAGCGGGGAGCCCCTTGGACTCAGTCAGCTGGTGGGTTCGGTCCCTGTAAACGTATGTACACTTGGTCCTTGGACTTCCTGGACTTCAAGGATCGTTTGCTTTCGCTGGGACTGGGACTGAGCCTGCAGCACTGGCTTGCATGCGAGCACGCAATGCCGAACATGACCATAGCCGCTCGGCGAATTCCCCCCGCTTTTCGGCCAACTGGTGGCCAACGGTGGCAGTTATTCAATATATCAACTTTTGGCCTAATAAATGCACTAATTGCGGTTAAATGCATTTTGCATGCAATTATTATCATTAGGGGTTGGCTCGCACGTCGTCGTATGCGATATATATATCCCCTCGCCATCGCCATCGCCATCGCCATCACCTTCACATCGTTTGTAAATTGTTTCTGTTGGTCATTATTTTAATTGCCCGGGACACGTCCACCCTCCACAACCCACCTCCCCCCTTCAACCCACTCGCTTAAAATCCAACAGAACGATTGTATTATTACCTTTTATTTAGACAAAAAAATATGCGGTTAAATATACTTTACATTTTACATTTACAACGTTTATGGTTCTAGGCTAGCAAAAAAAAATGGTTTATTCGATAATACATTTCGTGGTTAGGCTTAACTATACAAAATTATTTTGCTTTTTTGGCTACTAGTTTTTACAACATTCAAATAAATATTTGCTTAATTTAATGCCACTATAGTATGCTAATAAAAAAAAGGTGTAGAAAACATTTTCAATAAGTTACTAAAAGCAAATCAAATAAATTAAGCAAGCACACACAGAGATATATGATTATATACACACACAGGCACACACACACACAGACAAGCGGGGCAAATGCGCGGGCTAAAAAACGCAAATTCTTGGGGATATTTTTTTTGTCAAGTATATTAATGGTTTCGTTTTAAATACTGAACATTTTTGTGCTACCTTTTATGACCTAACAGAACCTTTTGTGTTTTTGCTCTTAAATTTATAAATGCCATGAAATATATTTCCATTTAATTTAAACGAAATATTTTTTTGTACTCAAATTTGAACCATAGAAAGGAGTGGGTGATATGGTATTCAATTAAAATTGATAATAATAATAATATATAAATGTGTAATATTTTTTGGAGCAATTGAAAGCAAGTAAGCAGGAAAAAGCACAAAAACATGATATGTAGCCGGCTAAATTCAAAAACAAAACTTCCCTCTCTTCATCTTTGATAAGTATAAGATCTAAGATACAATGTGGTCTATACCCCAAGAAAATCACGTTTTTCAGGCGGCACGCACTCCTTTTCAGCCGCTCACACCTGGATCTGGATCTGATCCTCGTCGTCCGACTGCGAACAGCTGTCTACGGATCGACCGGGCGGACTTCCCGGATTCAGCGTGGGACTGGGCGTCGACGGCGGCCTTGGCGGTGGGGAGACGGAGGCGGGAATGGAAATGGGCTTGGGCGGCGATCCTCCTCCTCCTCCTCCGCCCACCGAAGAAGGCGGCGCTACGGGAACCGGCAGCGGATGCGCCCCTCCCGGTTGTCCAGCTGCCGCTGCGGCGGCGGCACTCTGATAGTAGCTGCTCAGCGAGGACAGCGAACTGGAGGCGGACAGGTGGGAGAACGGAGCCGGACCCACCCCGCCCACTCCCACGCCCACGCCCACGGACGGTACGCCGGCGTACAGGTTGTAGGGCAGTGGCTTCTGCATGGCGGCTGCGGCGGCCGCTTGGCGGTAGTAGATGTCGATGTTAGTGTGCGGCGCCGATCCGTGGGCGGCTCCAGCGGCTGCCGCGTACGGCCACGCCCCCAAATAGGGCGAACCGCCGTACAGCCGCTGGAAGGCCGCAAAGTTGCCGGCCTCGGCCAAAAGTTCCAGACCCACGGCCGTTTGACGCTTCCACTTGGTTCTGCAAAGGAAAAGCACAGGAAAAAAGGTATAAAAAATTTATCTGGGATTTTTAAAAATCTTAAAAATAACTATTAAATAAAATTAATGATTTATTTGAATTTATTTTTATAAAAAACGTTGGCTAATTAAATTTAAATTTGCAAGAGAAATGTATGCAAATATTTTGTAAGAGAATTTTATTAGGATAATATGATTAACTATTTTGTAAATGATGATATATTTAAGAAGAGTTTACAAAATTTTAAAATAAATATTAATCAAATAACCAAAGTTTATTAAAATGTTTGTATACATTTTAATAATGATAATAATGTACGAGTATACAAACATTTTAATAATGATCTTTAACTAAATCTTTGAGGTGGAAAGCATTGTTGTACCTGCGATTCTGGTACCAGGTCTTCACCTGGCAGTCGCTGAGGTCCAGCTTGTGGGCCAGCTCCTGTCGCTCCTGGACGCTGAGGTACTTCTGCCGCTCGAAGGACTTCTCCAGCGTCTGCAGTTGGTGGTCGGTGAAGGCGGTGCGGGCCTTCCGCTGCTTCTTGCTCAGACCGCTGATGTCGCTGGCAGAGCCGCTCTTCACACTGTTGCCGTCGTCGTCCTTGCCGCCTGGAAGAAGGAAGATGGGAAGGGGGGTTTTAGAAATATTTCCTCATCATTTTAATCTTTCTCCAATTAAAATAGTTCTCTACAGGATTTTTGTCCTATGCTTATGTTATAAAAGTAAACTATAAAATCTATTTTAATATCGAAAATGTATTTTTATTTAAAACTGGCATAAAGTATTATTATTTAGTTTAAGTTTAACAGATTTTTTTCAAGGCTCATCAAGTCTGGCTAATTCGATTCAGATCCCAATGTAATCTATTAAAACAGTTGCAGTAACAGTTAGAGGCTCGTTTATGGCCACGCAATTGCCGCTTCCGCTCGCAAAGCGGTTCGTGTGTGTAAGTGTAATAAAAACGTATGGCAAAATGTCTAAACTTGCCACAAAAAGCCGCACGAGAGATAGCCAACTCACCCCGTTTTGGGCAAGAAGTGTTCTTTGGCCAGAGAAGGCCGATTTTCCACCTTTTCTGGCCAGCCATTTAGTACATAAAATGTATGTAAATTCAACCGATTGTGGTTACTCGATAAGCGAGAGCCCGTTTTTGGGCCATGGTCAGCAGGGGGTCAAGGGGATAGGGGGTTGGCTAGACTCTCAAGCGTTAAATTATTTAAAGCGAAAATTTGCCAAGTGTCTGCAAAGTGGAGGTGAATGTGCTTAGGAATAAATAAAAACAGGGAAGTGGCGATTGCTAACAGAAATAAATAAGTAAATAATTCTGAAAATTCATTAACAAGAATTGGTATTAAACAAATTAAACAAAATATTTTAGCTACCAAATAAAGCCTAGTACTCACTTCAATCAAAAAGGCAACGAAACGAAAATTTCTATACAAAAATGACAGCCGGAAAATTTCGTGATCAAAATTTTGTATGGAGATATACATTTCGTAGGCTTTTCGATTGAAGTGAGTACTAGGCCTAAAATGGTAATTTTTTCCACTGCAAATTAATCTGAACTTTGAAATATGAAACAAATAAAAATACAATGTTAATTATTTCTATTTATCATCGTTAATCAAGAGCTTATATTGCCGCCAAGGGGAAAGTTGTTTACCATATATAACGAAAACGATAAATGATTAATGGCGGCGATAAATGAGCGATAATGCCGCAATTGAATAAAATTAATTTTCAATTAAAGAAAATTACTCACGAATGTTGGCGCCGACATTGTGAATTATCGATTTGCGGGCGATAATTTGTGGAACATTAAAGAAAAAGAAAAGGCAATACTAAAAACCAATAAATAAATGACACATAAAATTTGGAAATGGTTTGTACCAAAAGAACCATTTTAAAATTCATTTTTTTTCTTTTAGGATTCCTTTGGAAATTGTTAAATAAAATTCTAGTGGTCGATAATCGTTTCTTTTTTCTTCGGCAACTGAACAACTAAACAACTGAAGTTCATGGCAATTGCGAAATTCCGATGAATTGACGGATTGCCGCCTTCCCTGCCCCCGGGCTATCAACTCATCCCAAGGGAGCTGGCCGACGCGACTACCGTTTATAAAAGTGCAATTGGCAACAGGAAATTGCGGCAATAAATGCCACAAAACAGGGCCCAGATGGAGCTGGAGAAAAGCTGGTCAAAAGCGGAGAACCGAGTGGTGATGAGATGAACAGAGCAAACTGAGTGCAACTTTTTTTTTCGTATTTTGTATTTTGTTTTTGTTACCCGACGACTGCCATTGCCATGGGGCGTCTATTAAAGGGGGTTAAATGCATTTTTATAACAATTTCCACAATTAAATGATTGCGAGGTGCGTGAGAGAGAGAGAGAAAGAGAGATGTGTGTAATTATTTGAGATTTTTTCTGCGGCTGCGGCAGTTTTTAAACTGCATTTTGTTGCTGCTGCTGCAGCTCCTCTTCTTCTTCTTCCCGCCGCCCCCTGTAGTGCCACGCCCCCCATTCTGCCATAATAACTCGCAGTCCCGCAGGTGCATGCCCCCAAGTTTTCGAGGGGAGGAGAGGCAGCTTCGCAATGACGCAAACAAAGCGTGAAAATGCATTTTTTTTATTACAACTAAAACCACAACAAATAGAAGCAACAACAAGAACGAGAATGTAAAATGGTCATGCAATAATTTTTACAGTTTGTTTTGCAAAGCGACATCGACGAGGGCCGCCAACGCCGCCGCCGCCGCCCCCTTCCCCTTCCTCCTTTCCGCTTCTCCCCCATTTTCCATTTTCAGGCGGCGCGCACGCTCCAAAACAAAAGACTTAGGCAACGAACTTGACTGCAGCACAACGGACTTGCTTACTTTTCGACTTAATTCAATTAGTCTCTCAATTGGCTATGGGGAAATGCGTTTCACAACGCAAACATTAAACGAGAATTCTAGTTATTTTACTTTGCAGCTGTCTGAGGCATAATTGTAGAAAAAATACGATATTTAATAATATTATGTATACGCCGGAGGTTTTCCATTTGGTCTTTTTAATCAATTAAAAAAAGTCTTTAATTAACTTCCTTTTTGACTTAAGGTTTTAAAAGCTCACAAATTATTTTAATTATTCCCCAAAATATGATTTTATTTTCTATGCATACAAATCGGGTTAGTTGTAAAGATAAAATATCAGAAAGTCAAGGGGCCTTTTTTTCAGTTTTAGAAATATAAACTATTTAGCTAATAAAAAATCTCCGAAAATTTAATTATATTAACTAATTTACAAGATTATTTATTATTTATGAACTCTTACCAAATGGAAATATCTAAAAATTAAATGATTTTGACGCAAAGTTATAAAAAGCTTACAAATTTTAAAATAATAACTAACGAATCGCGCATAAATTAATATTTAATATTAATATTGCTAGTGCTTTGATTAGGTAAACTTTATGCCAAGGGCCTTTCATGCTTGTCACCTATGTTTGGCAGGCTAAAGATCTTTATACCATTTTATATAAAATAAGGTATGAGTAACAGGACATATATCTTTCAAAACTTTAATTAGGAATTTCATTCAGAAAGCTTTTTTCATATGAATGCACTATTTCCAAAAAATGTCACTGAACTGGATTAATTATTTTTCTTTTTTTCTAGGACGACTGACACCCCTCCCCCTTCCCCCCGCATAGTACAGAGGCTCACCTCACCATTGCTACAAACGCTGTGATCGTCCATGTGGCCGCTGCCTCCCGCCTCGTCGCTGTCGCAGTCCTCGTTCTCCTCGTGATAATCGCTGCTGTCGTCCAGGTCGCCGGCCTTCGGTGGCGCCACCTCTCCACCGCCACCACCCACTGGGGGTCCTCCTCCCCCGCCTCCTGCTCCCACGGCAGCCGCAGCGGCAGCGGCGGCGGCAGCAGCTGCGCTATTTCTTGCAGCAGCCGCGGCAGCAGCAGCGGCATAATGCTGCTGCATGGCCGCCGCATATTGGGCCACGTTTAACCCATTGCCGCCGGCGGTGGGTGGAAAGTGGCCGGCCAGCTTGCCATGCGGATGCATCAGTGCGGAGTGCGGATGCGGATGCGGATGTGGCTGTGGGTGGTGCAGGTGGGCAGGCGGCAAGTTCGCAATGGGTGCCTCAAAGTTCTCCCCATTAGTGTTGTTATTGTTGTTGTTGTGAGCGGGACTGCTGCCGCCACTGGATCCCGAATTATTGCCGTTGTTGTTGTTGTTGTGGTGGTGGTGGTGGTGCAACTGCTGATGGTGGTGCTGCTGCTGCTGCTTGTAGAAGGCAGCGGCTGCACTGCCCGCCAGAATGTCGTTGATCATGAAGCGGGATCGATTGGGTTTGGTGGTGCTGCCGCCGCCGCCGGAGGAGGACATGGTGGAGGTGCCGCCTTGGATATGATGACTATGAATACCAACCACCGGCGGTGGCTGTAGGCCGTAGTGGTGGTGCTGCTGCAGCGTACTCAAGTGGTGGTGCAGCTGGCTATGCGCTGCGTTTGGCTCGCTGGGCGTTTGGGTGAGTATGCTCATCGAGTCTTTCATAGGGTTTAGGATTTCAAATATATCTAGTTCCCTTTTTTTATTATCGAATATTTTGCAACACTTCACTAAAAAAATTCACAATTATTCACTAAAGTTTCTATCTCTTTGTTTGTAGGGAGTTCTTGAGTTTTCTTATTATTTGGACTTTTAACTAAACTTTTCACCCAGCGACGTCGTTAGCGGCTTGGCTGCCAAAACGAGACTGAGCGTTTATGAAACGCACCTGCCCGAGCCGCCGCTGCCGACGCCTCTGCTCTGCTTAGCAGCGACTGCGGCCGAGGCAGCGGCGGCGGGCAACAAATTTGCCACTTTGTCATAGGCGGTGGTTGGGTTCATTTAACCCCATGGGCCAGAAAAGGACGGCCAGCTGTGTCTCGCTCCTCGCCTATTGCCATCTCATCCGGCGTCCCGCTTGCACGCAGCGCCATGTTGCCGACTATTTAGAGAATCCACCACGATTGTGTGGTGAAATATACATAGTCTCTCCCCGGGTTTTTATAGCACCAAATGTCGGTCAAATGACGGCTCTTCGGGGGCCTTGAAAGGGCCCCAAAATGGCGCTACTGGGAAATCGGTGGACCTGTAGGGTGGATGGAGATAGGGGTATTCGGAACTTCGAATATTACCAGAGAAAAGGGTCTTCGGAAAATGCAACAGAAAAAATTCAGAAAACCTTACATTTCAACGAAAAAATCTTCTAAAACTAAAATCCAGAAAAAGCTTATTTCCATAGTTAAAAATTTCAAATATAAAAAATCGGAAAAATTACAATTTCATAAGCTTACATATTTAATCGTATAATAAAAATGTTTAACAATGTTCATCTAAAACTGGTTAAAATTGTTACGCCATGATTTAATACAATTTAAAAAATATTGTTACCTCTTGAAATGAAATAAGAAATTAAGAAAGTTCCTTCGTATTTAAAAAATTATTTTATAAATATGAAAAAAATGGTCTTCTGAAAAAATAATAAAAAGAACTTCAAAAGATTCTGTTGAAAGATCCCTGCATAAATATCTATATTTATATATCTGTGATGAATAAAATATTTACCTTACTAATTTTACAAAACTCTCGTCCTCTCGTTAATATTTAATTTTTAGAATATTTTAATAATTTGTCTGTTCTAGTTATTGGCACTACAGTCAAGTGTTCGATTTTTGTGTTGAGAAACGTAGATAATTTTCGAAGGCGTCTCCTTGCTCGATTCCACGCTCCCAGACAACAAGATGGCAATTAAAATTTCACGCCAATAGCCCGGTTAGGGTCACCTTTTCGGTTTCCTTCGCCACATGTTGGCCAAGTTCTAATTGCAGGAAGGAAGGGAGCGGGATGAACGAATGCGAGTACAATTTGTCGGGAGCGGCGGTTTCCGTTTGATTGATATTGATTCCGGTCGAAGAGCGGAGAGCGGGGAACGGGGAACGGGGAACTACGAAAAGGTCAGGTGACCTGCGAAGGTCATTAGTGGCGGGGAAATTAGGGCGCCCATAAAAAGGGGGCGGGGGAAGCGGACTGAAGCGCGCGCTTCAATTGCGGAGCGCATTAAAATAATTAGCGTCTGGCGGAGCATCAAATGCGAGGAAAAGTCAGGCGAGAGTCCTTCATCCTTCGTCCTGATGACGGTTATTGCACTTAAATGCATATAATTGCCAGCCCAGTCGCATATCCTGCGGTTTGCGGTCGATTCGAGTCCGAGTTCGAACTGCCAATGCCAATTGAATGCTTAAAATAATTGCACTCGAGCAGCAATGGCGACACTGAGAAAAAAAATGTAAATTAAACATGGGAAACTTGGGGAATATCCTGCTAAAAAGTTTAGGATTCTAAAAAAATATTTTATATTTTATTACTAATAAAATTATTATTGATCCAATTTACAGGTATTTAAAATTAAAATACTAAATGTATGGTGCATATAGGAAATATTAAATTTTGTTTTGGATGAATGGATTAACATTTATTTTAAATAAATACAAATAAATAAATATAGAAATTTTATTTTTGATTATTATTTAAAATATTGTTATTAAATATTTTTAAAGTAAATACAGATACTATTTTATTTTTGATCATTCTTTAAAATATTATTGAATCGATTTTCGGGTATATTTTATTATTCATTTTAATTTTTCAGTGGAGCTGCGAGAAATTATGAAAAAGAAATGTACGAATGCAGAAACCGCAATGCGCAGTTGTCCCAGTGCCACACCCCCTTTGCCCCTCGATTGCTGGACAGTTGCCAGCGCAGTTGGACAGTTGGCAGCGTTTTTCCGGTCTCTTCGGCGAACTGCTTAACAGTTGTCCATGTGCAGCCTTCTATCGCTCGCCTATCTGCCCATCCATCTATCTGGCTTTCGATCTGAAAGTCGCCTTAATTGGCATAATATCTATTCGCTGGGCAACTCTGTTTGCTCTGCAAATATCCGCAGGAAATTTGTAAGAAAACCTATGCTTAACGACACAGATTAGAGGTTAAATAAAAGAAATAGTTTCTAAGCAAGATCTTTATATTTCTGGTGCCCCGAAATCATCTCGTTTGCAAATTAAAAATATAGCACATACATACATCCCACATGCACCTCTACAAAGCACACCTCCTGTCCAGGCTGATCCCAAAGTACGTCCATTTCCATTCCCATTTCTGATCTGCGGGGCCTGCGGAATCTTAATCGGCATCTTTGATATTATAATGTTCGTGTTACTGCGTGGACAAACGTAATAAAATAACTGATCGTTGTCGCTGATAAGTTAATTTACTTTTAATGTGCTGCCCTCGCCGAGGCGATCCAGATCCAGATCCGGCGGCCCAGCGATCTTGCAACGTGGGGGTAAATGGGTTCGGACCCCGGAGGTGACAAAGGTTCTCTCGCTGGACCGGGCCTCGAATATCATCGGTCCCCGAAACCGAAACAAGGCCTCTGCCCGAAGATCGAGGCTCTGACTTGCCTCGGTTTATTTCTTTTGATTCCCTGATACACTTTTCTCTGGGGTTATTGAAATTTAATTTGGAGCAAAAATCTTCTTTTTCTTTCTATCTCTAAAATCTATTTTTCTTAAATCTCATCGTAAATAATAGTATGCTTAGTTTGAAAAAAAAATTGTGTATTAAAAATTGGTTGAATCATAATTATTAATGTTTTTAGTTATTATTATTTCTGAAAGAAATCTAAATTTTTTAACTCTTCCTAAATAATTATGTGGTGATTTAAAAAAATGTAGTATTAAGGAAAGTTATTAGCAAATTTATAATTATTATTATGTTCCAATATAAATAAATACTTTTATAATATTTTCTAGTTTTTAATTATTTAAAAGAAAGGGTAGCAAAGCCTTCGTTTCCCCACTTTTCCAACTTGTTTTTAGTTTATTTGCCTTGTTTTATATTATTTGGTCTCTTGTTTTTGTTGGTCGCGTGTGCCGTCGATGGCCAACGTTGTTGCCAACTGATTTGTCAACAACGTGGCCAACAAAGGTGTTCTCCTGCCCCTTAAACCCCTTAACCCCCTGAAGACCCACGATTTATCGCTGCTCCAGATCAGTCAGCATGCCAGCTACAAGAGCAACAACAACAACAACAACAACTGCAGGATAAACATAAACCCTGATTCCAATTCCAATTCCAAATTCGTTTCCGAGGCGGCGCTCGTTTTAAAAAATTGATGTCGTTTGGGTCCCCCACTAAATGGATGCTATTTAAATTTTTACTGCCTGCGGCACCTATAAATCCATTGGAGGTTTGATTTTCGATGAGGATCAGCTTAGGCTCTCGAAAGGATCGGGGCTTCGATCATCGGCCATCCCCCTTTTGGCACCTGCCCATTTGGTTTCGGGATTTATTCACTTTTTATGGCTCAGCTTAGCCCGACCGACTAATCAACACCTCGCTGGGATCGCACTTTGATTTGATTTGATATCTCAATGGAAACGGGAACGGGGTCGGGATTGGGGAAGTTAATCCCTTTTAAGAGGGGCGACTATAAAAAACGTTTCTCCGAGGACCTGCGATTTTCTGTTGGGTGATGGAATAATTTTTAAGTAAGTATTTCAGTCGTAATTTATTTATTTATATTTTATGGAACACCTTAAATGTGAGTTTCCGAATACAACATAAATATTAATCAAATGAGGTAAACAACTAGTGAAGATCGCACCTTCAACAAAAGTTCTGACCATCCATTGAATATTTTTTTATTTTTGATTTAGATTAAATAAAATATTTAAATCAATATTTTAACTAAGAATTTCTTAAGCACGTGCCAAAACTGAAATGCCCCACGAAATACTCCAACCATGTAGCCGTATCTTTGAAATTTTCCTGCCCAATTTGTTGATAAACTAATGGTCCTCTCGCATATTTCGCTTATCTGCGGATGGGCCTCTTAATTAGGCGAGCAAGTTGGCTAAACGACGGACCGGGCGACATTTGCCACATTTGCATGGGCCATAAAAATATGCTCGAGCCATCATTTCCAAATGCAACCACTTAAATGTCGGATTCGGATGGCTCGAAACTGGCGACGAAGTGAAAATGTATTTTATGACTCAATTTGGTGCACATAAAACGAGCCAGAGGAAAAGATGCCGGGGGAAGGGGTATTTTTGTGGCCTAAGCCATACAAAGTGCAACATTGTCTGTTGGAAACGATAACGATATGACGATGCCGAAGGTGTGATCTGTAGGGATGGTAACGTGATCGAAGGGGTCTTAAGGAACTAAACTAAAAAGAAAGAGAACCAAATTTCTATTCCTGAAGATTCCCAATTCTCTCTAACATAAATGTAAATTATTCAAGTAAGAATTTTCGTAAAATTCTTGATTTTCCTTATATTGATAGATAAAAGTTCCCATTTCTTAATTCCGAATAATCCCAATATTTAAACAAACTTATCATCCAGTTCCATCCCTAGAGATCCCACATTTTTCCAGGTGGTTGGGGCAACTGCAGTTCGATAGTTATTGTTGCCGCTCGGCTGATTGTTGTTAACTTTTATGTGCAATTAATCGGCCACGCCATTGAGCATTTATAAGCATTTCTCGCACCAACAGAGGCTGCTGGGAGCCCCAAAGAACTGAGACCTCTTCTTCGGTTTCCCACTCGCCGAGTCGGAAAAAAGAAATTAAGTCGTTTTGAATTAAAGTGAAATGCAAAATGCATCTTCACCGGCTGTCTGGATGGC